GGGGTATTGGGTAACAAGAGGGAGAGGGATGATTATTAGGTGATGGAGTGCAGCGGGGCAGTGGATAATGCAGGGGTAGAGGGTAGCAAGAGATTGAGTTAGAAAGGGCTGTGAGGAGTACTAGAGACATCATCATCAGAGTTTGTGCAGTGAATCAGTTGCTGCCAAAAAGTCATTGAGAGAGTCTGGGTTAAAGGAGGGACCATCAGCATGAAGGGCAGTAGAGTGGTGACGACGTTGGAGGTAAATTCTGCATGCTCATTGATAGAGTGGGCAGTCCAACAGAATGTGGAACCTGACAATTCTCACAAGAGTGCCTCTCCATGAGACACCCGTGAGTAAGACGAGTGTGTCTGAAGCAAAGACGGGAGAGAGTAGCCTCTCAACCTCGACACTGATGATAAGAATACGGCCAGAAACCTATACTCAGTTTAATAGAGTATAGTAGATCAGACCAGTGTTGTTGCCAACGAGTGTGAAGGTGGGTAGCAATTACAGTAAAATAGTCTGTGAATAGAACACCTCTGTATGAAACTGGGAGGTCATGTACCACTGACCACACAGCAGTGTCTGCCTGTAGGACAACATGACCAGGGACCCAAGAAAAGGCAATACCTTTGTGCTTGCTAGAGATACGGCATAACCAAAGTTGGATACGAAGAACCAGGGAATGTGGTGTATCAAATTTTTGTATAGCCTGTAAAACACTAAGGGAGTCTGAAACAATCACAAGTGGTGACACAGGCATAGATGCAATGTGGATAAGTGCTATGAGAATGGCATACAATTCAACCATAAAAATGATATCCGGGGATAATAAATGCCCTCACAATACGCTGTCCAGAAACATGGGAACCATTGGTGTACACTGCGATGGCATGAGAATGAGATTGGAAGTGGTTAAGAAAAAGAGAGCGAGAAGCCACCATAGGCAGTTGAGCTCTCATGCATGGCAGCAGGAAAGAACAGACACAAACCGTGGAAACGTCCCAAGGGGTTAGGGAGATGCTACATGAGCATAGACAGGTGGTAACTGAAAAGAAGACGAGCAGAAAAGGGACAGAGTAAATAGGTGTGATGAACAAATAAAGAACGTCTACTAACATAAGTGACTGACTATCCTATATATGGAAGGATTGCAGAGGTCGTGAGTGAACATAATAGTGAAGGCAATGAGTATCACGGCGATCAGACAAGGATGGAATATTTGCTGCTGCATAAAGTCTCTCGACTGGTGAAGAGCGAAAAGCACTGAGGTATTAATGTAATCCCTGGGATTAAGGCTAGAGAGAGTTGCAGAAGAGGCCACTGAATATATCTGGTTGCCATAATCGAGTTTCGATAAAATTAGGGGTGAATGTAGTTGAAGGAGAGTTCTTCGATCAGCCCCCCATGAAAGATGAGTGAGGGTTTTAGCAAGTTACCTTCAGAGAGGTAATGTGAGGTTCCCAGGTTAGCCTACGGTTAAACAGAAGGCCTAGAAACCTGACCATATCATGTTCTGGGATATGCAAACCATATAGGTACAATGGATGATCATAGACAACAGAATGTTTAGTGAAAGTAATTTGGCGAGTTTTAGTACTAGAAAATTTAAACCCAAGAGTGGTGGCCCAATTTGAAACATGGTTGACTGCATGTTGGAGAGAAACTGAAGTGAGGTGACAGCCAGCTCCTGCACAAGATATAGCGAACTCATCATCAACACAGAGAAATGACCAAATATTGGATGGAAGAACAGAGGCCAGATCATTTATAGCAAGGAGAGAAAGTGTTGTGCTCAGAACACACCCCTGGGGGACACCTTTAGCTTGGACATAGCATATTATTATAATCAAAAAGAAGCGCTAAGCCACGAGGGCTATATTATTATAATCAAAAAGAAGCGCTAAGCCACAAGGGCTATACAGCGCTGCATTTTTAACCTGAACACTGAAATTTCTTTCAGTTAAGAAGGTCTTAAGGAAAAATGCTAGATTGCCCCGGAGGCCTAAGCCAAGATGTTATACTTCCTAGTAGTGTCATATGCCTTCTCAGCATCAAAAAAAAAAAAAAAAATATGGCGATCACTGAGTAGTTATTGGCAAAGGCTATTATGGACATGCATAGTAAGGGGTCAATGGTAGAACGGCTCTTTCGAAAGCTATATTGACTAGTGGAGACTGTCATGTCTCTAAATACCACATCAAACATCTATTTACCAGAAGTTCCATCACCTTGCAAACTGCACTGAGAGGCATCATGTCCCGTTGTACCCGGTTTGTGGGAAGGGAGAAGAATGGCAGATTTCCACAGCTGGGGAAAAAACTCCTTGTGACCAAATAAGATTAAAGAGTTGTAAGAAGACAGCAAGGGCTGACTGATGTAAATGTTGTAGCATACGAATGCCGTCAGGCCCAGCAAGCTGAGTGTTGCTTCCAGTTCCAGAAGTGTAAAAGGCACATTATAAGATTCTTCTCTGATAGAAGAAGAGTTTAAGGGCTCTAACTCTCTGGCAGGTTTTGAGGAACAAAACGAGTGGCATAGATGAAGCCCCCGAGAGATACAGACAAGATGATTACCAGTTTCGGTGGCAACGTCAAAAGGGTTTGCAATATCAACAGCGGCAACCCAAAGAACAGGAGCCGGGTCGGGAGAGTATTTACCGCTCAGTTTCCATACTTTTTTTTCAGACTGCACTCAGAGATGGTAGAAACAAAATCGTGCCATCAAGTGTGTTTAGCATCACAGATGACATGGCGAGCAACTGCTCAAAATCAAGGTCTCTCTCTGTGGTTCTATTGTACAGGTACCTGCCCCATGCAAATAATAGTAATGATCTTTCATATTGTTTATTATTAATCAAAAAGAAGCGCTAAGCCACAAGGGCTATACAGCATCATATTGTTTATAAAGGAATGGAATAACGTGCTTATTTTAACACCCTCAGTATCTTCATCTCTAATGCCAGCACGGATAAAGGAAGCCAGAGACAATCCATACATCAGTATTAAAATTTTAGCCATTTAAGAGGTGTGGAAATTATTTAATTTCTGAAGCTATAGTGCCTAAAGTGTTTAATGTGTTGATTTGGGTCAAAATATATTTATATTTTGAATAGAACCAACCGGGTTCGCCCTGCGCCTGCACGGATGTGCGGGGGGACAGGTCGACTCAGGGCATGGGTGGGCGGCAGTGTTTTGAATGTAGTGAGGAGGCTGTGAAAACATGGGATCAGGAAATTGACGTTCACAGCGGCCTAAGGATTAATATAGGCCTCACTTCCTAATAGGAAGTGTCATAACTGTTCCTGGTGAAGAGTGAGGGAACGTGATTTACGTGACCACCATAATAAAGTGGATAATAGTAGGACCGGGGGGTGATGGGTGTGCCGCCATGGAATATTACCCGTGAGTTAATCCTCACTCGTCGGTCTCAGATCTTAATGGAGTGACCTCTAATGTGTATAATAATTATGAGATGTTAAATCGTCTTGTGAATGGTAATGTAATCAGTGATAATAACATTAAGTTAAGAGAATGCGGGAAGTGAAATAAATCGCCCTGCTCCGAGTGAACACGTGGTTCCCATCCCGAGGATAGTGAAGTTTTATGGAATCACGACTTTTAAACCGGGACAAACCAACGGACACCTCGTCCTGCTGGAATAAGAACCGTGTCAGTGTAGCAGGACATCGAAATGAGATGGTGAATGGAGGAAATAAGGAGCATCAATCGCCCACAGTTAAGTAACCTTACTAGTTATAGCAGACTGATACTGGCCAGTTAAAACATACCTAATTGGATAGGTTATGGGTGATCCAGCCACATCAAGTGACCACCAGAGAATATCTGGTAAGTGGTGGGATTATGTACAAATGTTTTTCCTTGATCAATGTATCCATGTGTAACCTACCCCCCCCCCCCTTCATTCAGTTAAAGTAATATAATCTATACAGTCCACAATTAATTAGTAGCGCCATACTTGAGGGTGCTATCCAATTTATACTGGTCTCAGATAGATATGGATAAGATTGTGAGGGTCGAGGGGCCACCTGCATTGACCAGAGGTGGTCAAGTTTTCTCATGTCTACGGTAAAGAATATAGTTGTTGTCTCCCAATGAGATTACTCGTATGCATGTAATGTTGAGGTATGTACAAGTAATTACCCCTATAAAATTTTCCATAAGAGGCATACTCAAATTATTTTACAGAAAAACTATTTAGCACCTAAGCATTTCAATGTGGAAAAAAAAACAAAAATTGTCATGCATATGCCAAGGTTAACCCCAAAAAAGTGAAGTTCAAGACATTTATTAGAGGAAATGTTTAGCCATGAATGGTTTCCTCTAATTTCTTGACTGTACTTGTCTTTTTCCACATCACCATAACATTTCTTATTTCAATACCAATCCTAACCATCTTCTCAAGTAGACTGCATCAATGTTGATCAAAAGATTCATTCTCTAGTTATCACAAGACAGTAAAATCTAAGGATGGTTTGTGTAATAAGACATATCCAACAGTTAGATATCTTTATTCTGAAATGTTTCATCTACACAGTAGGCTTCTTCAGTCAAATACAGAGGAGTCAGTAAAGCTGTAAAGACAATGTCATCAGTCCATCACTCTCAAAAAGACAATTTTGAAGATGTCAGTCCCTCGGCCTGGAGAAGGACTGACCTCAAAACTACATCTTCAGTGCTTCTGCTTCCTCCTCTGTATTTGACTTGTGAATATGATAATCGTGTACAATACTGACAAGTGTTAAGATAAGATTTCGTTCGGATTTTTAACCCCGGAGGGTTAGCCACCCAGGATAACTCAAGAGTCAGTGCGTCATCGAGGACTAGCTTATTTCCATTGGGGTCCTCAATCTTGTCCTCCAGGATGCGACCCACACCCAGGTACCTATTTGCTGCTAGGTGAACAGGACATGTGTAAGGAAATGTTTCCACCCGCCGGGAATCGAACCCAGGCCCTCCGTGTGTGAAACGGGAGCTTTACCTACCAGGTATTGATTAGTTTAGTAATCATAGCTTATTAATATCTCTCGAGTTTCCTCTACGGAATATGGAAAAGGGCACTCACCGGTATTAAACTTTTGACCCGATCCGAATTTCCTGCATTTATGCTTGGTCTGATTATTATTAGCGTCAGAATGGTTGACGGGATCTACTGATGACATGTCCAGCAAAGAAGCACGTTGGTGATCAGAAAGTTCGAGAAAAAATTCAACTTTGTGACCATATTTATTATATTTACGATCGTACCTGCGACAGTCAGTAAGAAACCAGTCTCTGCCATCTTGGGAGTACCATGGACCTCCATAGCTGTGCGGGTCGTAGCTGGGAAGCGGGAGCATTTTATTTGTTATCAAAAGTCTCGTTGCATTGCTCGCACTATAATCAACAACTTCCATGAAATAGATATTATAATTTTTAATTTTCTGAAGGAAACTCCTGAAGTTTACAGTAAAGCTGACATTTCCGTACCAGTTATTCTGACCATCATCGGGGACGCTGATGCCATACCAGAGCCCACACAGATCTGGTAGTTTCTTTAGCAGGTGTGTGTGAGTGTGTTTTGTCAAGCAATATGGTTTCATTTTGCCGATTCTCCGTATCTCTCGATAGTCATCCATGTGCACAGTTCTTACTATATCGTGAAACTCTTCATATGAACTAAACCCTTCAACAACTGGGAGTGAGTCGAGTGAGAATGGTCTCCAGCATGTAAACTTTGTATCATCATTACCACTATGGAGAACTTTATCTTCACATCCTACAAATTCTTCCATCATCTTATTTTACTGGACGCTGCTAAAACTTCCTGAGACCGCACACGTTCCTTTAATCTGGAAAGACAGACATAATTAGGTATAGTTATGCTTATTGTAATATTCATGTACCTGTTATTCCAGTAATTTATCCCACCTTGTAAATAGGACACAATGCAGGTTATGGTATTTTATTGCACAGACGTTTCACACACCAGGAACTTTATTAATAACATCCCTAATGGGCAAAACGTCTGTATAATAAAATGCCATATCCCACATTGTGTGATTTATTTATAGTTATGATAATCTAACACTATTTCCTTAATGCACCTCCTACAAGTGTTTACATATTTAACTAGATAGGGTTTGATTGCATTAAGGTGATCGAGAAAGGTATTTCAAGTTTCTTTCCCCAGTATATCTCGTGGTACTTTTTTTTTTTTATTAAATCTTGAAAAAATAAAAATTAGTACTGCTCTCCCCTTCCTCGAATCAACCAGATTGTGTCCCATACTCCAGGTACTGTACGGCTTATGTAGGTTTTGCACTACCCAGCATGTGTCGTCCATCTTCACCTCTAACATTCTTCTCCATCTTTGACTTCCCTATATCTTACCTCCCTGTTCTCCAACCTTGACTTTGCTATATCTCACCTCTGTATTCTCCAACCCTCACTTCACTATTTCTCTCCTCCCTGTTCTCCCACCCTCACTTTCCTATATCTCACTTCTATGGTCTCCAACATTGACTTCCCTGTAAGTCATCTCCCTGTTCTCCAGCCCTCACTTACCGATATATCTTATCCAGGATACGTGTAGTTTAGAGGTTTCTCCTGGCGAGTGCACAAGTTGTAGTGTTCTCACTCTTGTTGCGATGCTTCAGTGATGTCTTATCACTCGGTTGCTTGCTGGAATTGTCGTCTCAGTGCGTATCTTCTGTCGAGAATGGATATTATTATTAGAAAAAAGAAGTGCTAAACCTATTAGGGTTAGACTTAGACATTGCCTAGTTTTATATAAGAACTGGGTTAATGCTTTAAGTATTTTTTGTTTTAGGTGTAGTCCCCACTTCCAATTGAATGGAAAATACTCACTCACTAGGTGAACAAGGGGCAGTAGGTCTAAGAAAACATACCCAACGTTGTGGGGCCCCGTGACCTGGCTGGGAAAGCTGTCGCTGAGGGCCCGGGTTTGATTCCTGGCAGGAGTTTTAACATTGGACGCATTTCCTTACACGTGTTGTCCTGTTCACCTAGCAATTAGGTACCTGGGTTTCAGTCGACTGTTGTAAGTCGCATCCTGGGGGACAAGATTGAGGACCCCAATGGAAATAAGACAGTCAGTCCTCGATGACATACTGCCTTTCTTGGGTTATCCTGGGTGGCTAACCCTCCGGGGTTAAAAATCCGAAAATCTTATCTTCACCCGTGCTGAGAATTATTTATAATCAAGGGGGAAGCGCTAAACCCGTTGGATTATACAGCGCCTGGGGGATGTGGAAGGCATTCAGGCTTAATTCGGGGAACTGGAGCACAGATCCAATTCCCTAAATCAAGAGCCCTCACCAACATCCCGTGCTGAGAAGCGATCCCTGGTCCCTCAGTGTTTAAGACAACTATGCAACAGTTATCAACTTGTTGATATTATATATCATTATTATATTCACTCGGTGTGTGAGCTGAGGATGCTAATACACGAGCCATAAGGAGAATTACCAATAGCTCCCTGGTTGTCTTCATAAGGGAGCTGGACAGTTTAATAACTTTATTCTGCACCAGCTACCTATCCTGTGGGCGGTAGTCAAGAGATTACAACGGTAAATAATGGGTCCAGGGACTGGGCCCCTAAGTTTTGATAGCTGAACAAGTTACAAAGGTAATGAGCTCCAGGTAGATCTGGTCATAATCATGACAAGTTACAAAGGTAATGAACCATCTACACGTCTATACATGGTTACGCTGTATAGCCCTTGTGGCTTAGCGCTTTTTTTTATAATAATATACATGGTTACAATCATGAACAAATTACAAAGTAATGAGCCATTCACTCGTCCACACTGGCCAGATACAGGATCAGCCAGGCTGTGGTTCGTACATTGGACTACGTGCGGCCAGCAGTAACAGCCTAGTTGATCAGGCCCTGATTTACCAGGTAGACAAGCAAGTATTGCTCCTCCTGTCAACGCTTATTCTCCACTGTTATCCATCCACCATGAGCATATGGGGTCCGTGAACATGATTGCCTCGAAGAGCTTAGTAGCTACTGTTTTCCTCTACAAAAAATAGTCTACATAAACTATACCACGGGTGGGGTTTGAACCCGCAGTCAGACTGACCACGGGTTCAAACTCCACCCGTGGTATGGTTTGTTTGCAATCCTCTTATTACGCTACATGTTAGATTATTCAAAATTGTATTACGTCTATACCTCTAACTCCTTCCAATGAATGCAATAATTATCTGCCACTTAAAAAAGTAATATCAACTAATAATCTGTATGTAACTATTATAATAATGATATACGATAACGACAAATTAAGTAAAACACATACGCAACCTGCAGTCGGCCTATTTGCCCAACCACACCCACTGATGTACCAGTCCAACCTTTATTTAAAACGAGTGTTCGGGTTCGATTCCCGGCGAGGGTAGAAACATTGGGCGTGTTTCTTTACACCGGTTGTCTATGGTCACCCATCAGCAAAATGGGTACCTAGGTGTTAGTCGCCTGGTGTGGGTCGCATCCTGGGACAAAACTGACAATTTGCCCGAAATGTTCAGCATTAGTTAGTTTAATAATGTTTATTTATGTCACCCCATAAACCCATGCTGTGGGCGCGTTATTCAAAGATTACAGAGGTACATAATGTCCAGGTGTACTGGCCTCAAGTTTTATGTAGCTGAGCAAGCTAACAGAGGCAATGAACTCACAATTTTACAAAGGATAAAGAACTCACAATTTTACAAAGGTAATGACTCCAGGATAGGTCTAGTCACAATCATTATTACTAAGATTACAAAGGTATTTACAGATTACAGAGGTACACAATGGGTCCATGGGACCGGCTCCAAATGTTTGATGGCAATGAACTAGGTACAAGGTAATGACCTCACAAGTTATACAAAGGTAATGAACTCACAAAGTTACAAATGTAATGAATACTGTAAGAATGGTTACCTTACGTTTATACATGGCTGCAAACATGAACAAATTTTAGAGTAATGAGTCATTCACCACTGTTCCACCCGCCGTCACAACTGTAGTGAGTTATTGGTGCAAATGTTGATTGCCCTGAGCTCTCTCTCACTCCACACACACACCCACACACACAGGCACAAACAACATACAAATTCAAGCGACCCACAAACACGACATAAACACACACACACACACACACACACAAACTCATACACACACGCACAACACACTCATACTCACAAGCACTCATACACACACCTCACACACATACACACACACACTCAACCTCTACACACTCACATCACACAACAAGACACCCATCACACACACACACACATCACTCACCACACACCACACAACACATGCCCACATGTGGTAATGCTTTAATTTACAACTAGCAAGTCTGGTATTCTCTCAGATGGTCTGTAATATACCACTGTTGGATAAAATACTTAGCCATTTCTTGACAGCTTCTCTGGGTGAATGTTTTCCAATTCATTAATTTTATGCACTCCAGTACATAATGAAGCAGGGTGTGACAATAATCCATCTGGGAATAGTTTTACATTTCGTTATGGCTACATCTGGTGGGGTGATTAACCTGCAAGATACTTCTGTTAACCCAGTCCGGAGCCGGCGGTATGACATCCAAGAGTCTGCTTATTTTTGTTGGATGCACCAAAGACATGTGGCTCCTCCTGCATGATAGAATGACTGATAGATGACTCACCTGGTGTCAATCTCCTACCTTACTCCATAAAATTCAGCGTGACGTTCTTCGTATTATTGTTCTCAAACTACTACCGTGACAATGCCAAGATTGTACTCTACTGCCCATCTTTGAAAGCCTACAGCTTAGCCAATATACTCAGTTCTATCATGTGCATCTGAAGACCCATGTGAGATGGAGAATCCACAGCATGTGCACTCTAGACTCACAGTCCCAATCCTACCATAACCTGTTCTGGCTCTGACACAATCATTCATGCCACAATTTATGCTTAATGAGTTGAGAGCATTTCGATGACAAGAGAATCAGTTCACAATATAAACTGGTCAATCTTTGATACATAGAAGCATTTCGTTGCAAGGATATGGCAAACAGTTTCTGTCTGAAGAGGGAAGGCCCAATTATGATGCGTGCTCCCAATTCTTTAAGGAGAGCCATCACTCAGACGACAACAGCAGCACTACCAGCTGCACCAGTGGATTGGTGAACAGAACCATCAACGTAAATAATTTGCGAGAGTGTGTGCTGTGTGACTAATTGTATCACTACAGCTTTAAGGCCTCATGTTTGCTTCAAAGGCGAAGTTTGTTGTGATTTAAGAAGGCAGTATGGGGGGAATGGAGTAATGGTAGTTTATGGAATGGGTAATATATCCATGGAGCGAGAAGTGCCGCTGATTGCCTTACTTGACAATAGATCATGTATATCTGATTCATGCGGATGTCGGTTCCAGTCTTTACGATCCATCTGGAGGAGTGTTCACGTGCAGGTGCTGAGGAAAGTTGAGGGCTTCCTGTGCAGGGTTTAGAATGACTTGCCTGAGCATAATACCCCCCAATTAGGATATTTCTTTCAGTAAACACGATCTCAATCTGATGCTTATGAATATCAAGTTCTTTTTGCATATAAAAAATTTGGCAGTACGAGGGGCTTCCTATGATGCTCCTCATATGCTTCGTTCTGCAGTTTTTCTCTTCACAGCTCCTACGCAGCTTCCATACAGCCCCAAGAGCAAGTAGTGGCGCAGCATAATCAACCAAATGATCTAATATAATCAAGATACCATCATTTTCACAATTTTTAACATTAGCACCAAAACCTGGAGGTGGAAGCCCTGCCACAACTCTAATTGCTCTTTAGTCGTTTCTTTGTATTTGCAACAAATCCTTGTTACAACAGGTCCAAGTAGTGGAACCCTCAAGCCTAGATACCTGTATCTGCGTTACAATTCTAGAAGAGACCCCATCATGCAATTGATCTGACGAACTGTGCCTCTCTGTCGAGGAGGACACCTATTGGTATCTATGCGTTTATCAGTAGAGATTTCAACCCCAGGTCCTGACACGAGGCTAGTAGCATGATTAAGAATGTTTTGGTGTTGGAGAATCCGGTGATGTGAATCATTATAGTCTCAGCAAAACTATTCACATAATTATGGGCTGACAGGCAAAGCATTAATTAATGCATTTATTTTTTAAATTTAGAATATAGAACAGTGTGGGACTGAGCACAACCTCCCTGAGGGTTCCCTAATTCAAATGTGCATTAGTTACACTCTATGTCCCTGGAACAACACAGACGATTTTCTGTTGGACAGGATAGCCCTTACAATCCAGCGAGAAAGCCATCCACCAACATCCATTCTGGCAATACACTAATTATTACATAGTCGGTGTGGCTACATCGGAAAGCGGCATTTAATGTCAAGGAAGGTAGTAGGAACAGTCAGACTGCAGGGTGAATAAAGGTGGCGATGCAATGATGCAAACGCCCACTCAAGCATGAAACCATGTAACCGGGGAGACAAAATTGTTTTGATTCTGTACATGAGACTCCAGCGTGAGACGAGAAGTAGCAACAGCAGAAAAATACACATTGTGAGAACCTGCTTCAGAGAAGTCATTATGTCCCCCCCCCTCAAAGGAGATTTTTAACCGGCGAGGTCAGTGATACTGACCATGAGATAGTATCGATAACCCTGACAGCTGAAGTACCCGACAGAGAA